TGAGACAATGTTCTCGTTGTTGACTAACAAATCCAATATCATTCATTTCTTTCTATCCGTGTATAATCAATTTTTCTTCGAGACTTTCCATCTGGCTCCTTCATGCCTTCCGTCGTTTCTGTTCTCTCCAGAAGACGGAATTTATATCATTGAGGTAGTTGTTTTCAACGTGCGAAGAAAATGCATGGACCAAAAAAAAGAATTTGTCACTGGGACATTTTGACTAGCACTTACGTGTCAAAGTACTGGATTTGATTGAGCGTGGCAGAAACGCTTTGCTCACTGTTGCTTAGGAGATCATTCGCATGTCTGTCCAAGCAGAGAAAAATAATTTAGTTATGAAAGGAGCAAAGTGAAAATAAATTTCATCTGACACAGGGTAGCCCAGTTGTGAACTTGAGAAACACTTATATATTTTACTCGTGAAACAGTGCAGTACTGAACATTTTCGACACCTGCTAATAAAACTGGACAAAACGAAAATTATGCAATTATAATAATATGCTTTCCTTACCATCCTGCCAGAGGAACAAGCAAAGTTTGATTGAAAATGCCTTCGCTTTCGTCCGGATAGTCGGCGCAGGCAGTGGCGTGGAAATAGAACTGTGTCTCGGCCTTTTCAGGCACCATGTCGTATATTCGGTAATAAATTGAACCAGGGAAGTTTAGGGTGCAAGAACGGAACGCGAAACCTTTCAGTGTCCAGAAGCCTGATATGATGATACTCCACAGGACCGGACCAAGTACCATTTTAGCGCTTGTTGAATGGAAAGGCAGCCGTTGCACACATCCTCACACCATCGAGTCGACGACGTGCAGAACCTCCCTTCGACAGATCAGCTCACTTACAGACGATCAATATTGTCAACAGCAGCAGCAACAGTAGCAGATTCGATGACGGCTTCATATAACAACCTGCAATTTGCGGGGCTAAGTAGCGTATTTTAAATGAAACGCGCAACAACCTTTTCAAGAAGTTTTACCAGTCGTCCATTTCTGCACAAATTCCAAACGTTCTCTGCGTGTCTTCAAGACGATCGATTGTAGATAGATTACAATTCGCAAAGGTTATGATCTTCAGACCTTCACTTGAAACTTGGCATAGAATGTCCGCCACGAATTAATATCTGAAATATATTTCACATTTAATATTATCACTTAATTCACAACAGTAACATCACTAATCGATATACGCTGTGAAATCGAACAGCCAATCAAGCCGCTTTTCGTCTACAGTATGCGGGGAAAGCTAGCAGAGAAATTAGCTCTTAGTTGATTTGAAACCTGAATTATTGATCTTTTGCACGCGTGATGTCGTTTGCCAACGGTACATCTACGATTATATAAATTTATCGAACGTTCAACTGAGTACTGAACCATAAACTTTGATAGATATTCATCTTCAACGTGCTATATCATAATAAAGAAATTAAAGGACACCGGCTCAAGGAACGGAGCACCACTCTTCAACCTGTAGGCAGCTTTATTGAACGTATTTGCCAAAGTACAATAAATTTATGTTTTTTATGTTCTTAGCCTTTGAGTGTTCTGCGTTGACAGCCAGTGCCGCCGCTATTCAACGCCATTCTCTATTGGAGAACGCGACATTCAATGCCTTGGGGACCGTAAGCTATGAAAGTAAGTAAAACTCACTGGTCTATTGCAATCCCTTCAGAATTCAAACTTGCTTAACTTAGTTTATTTTCTGAAGGAAATATGATAATCAGTAACATAAAATCTGAGAGAAAAATTCAGATAATGCTCTATGAACGACATCTGATAAGTCACAATAGT